CACTATTACACAAACCGTTAACATTTACTGTCATACACCGGAGGTCTTTTAAAGTTTCCACCACTACCTCCTCTCTGCACTCTTCCCAGGGGCACCAGAGCTTGTAGTTCCACTTGTCACCTTCACACTTCCCTCTCTCCCCCCCCCCCTTCTTTCGGTGCCTTCTGTCGTGGCCACCACTACCTTCACCTTCCGCCCAAATCTGCTTCCTAGGCGGCTGCGCTGGCGTCAGAACACCATCTGAATCCGACACAGCAGCCCTCTTCCTCGTGACGATCACATCCTCCATAGCTTGGTCTGGGGATGCCTCACAATGGACCTCTACTTCCACTGTACAATGGTTCATTGATCCCAGTGACACCTCTGCCACGTTATCAATCCCGTAGTCCGTATGGTTCTCCTGTTGTTGACGCACTGCAGCCGTCAACTCGTCGTCTACTACCCGCTCAGGTGCACCCGCCTCCTCAGGTGGTGACAAAGACTTGAACACCTCAGCCAATTCCTCCTCAATTTCCGACACTTCCTTCAGTACTTTCTGCTCATCACTTGCCTCTGGAAGAGTCTCTGAGCCAGTTAACTGGTCGAGGGCCTCACTCTCTCCCCCAGCCATATGCGCCTCATTCACTATCTCGCTCCATAGACGACCACGCCCTCCCTCACGTCGTTATTCCACTGATGCCTCCACCTCTTTGCCAGGCGTTCGTTGCCGCTTCCCACTCGCCACTGCTATGTGATCATATTCTCCACATAAGCGGCATGTACGTCTTTGCCCAGCATACAAAACCATGACCTGTGTCCTGAATTCCTGTAGGTACACGTAGGACGGTATGGGGTATTGCAATGTCATTTTTAGGTTAAAAATGCCTTCCGGCAGACCCGCATAGGCTCCCGTCACCCACGTATCGTGCTGGGCCAAATGAACTGTCCCATATTTCTCAAAAACTCTTCTAATATCTGCCTCATCCGCCTCGAAGGGAACGTTATGAAGTTTGATCCATGTGTAATGCCTGGATACATCAATCATCCTTACGCAAACAGCTGGTATAGCATCAACACTTACGTCCTGAAAACGATTGACCAACGATTCATAGACCGTTGCTGTGAGCAATTTCACAAAAATTCTGTGAGCTCCATTTAAAGTTACCCTGAATGCCATCCTGAATGCCATACGTCTCTCTGATGATCTTGGGTAGTAATACTTGCGCCGAACAGGCGATATTGCCCCTTGGAGAAGCTCAATTCCGACAATGTTGATACCGGCGTCTATGACTGAACGCCATGTTGACTAATGGTAGTTCTCCTGGTTTGACAGCAGAGGCGCAGACAGCACCACCTCACATCCACCGCACGCCAGGCAACTGAGGAGCGTCTGCGCAGTAGATCCTCTCGGCCCGAAAGCGAAGAGAACAATGAGAGGAAAGAATTAGCTATAATGATACTGAGAATCTAAGATTCATCAATTTTTTGGTACTGAATCCAATTTCCAGGCTTATGGACTAATTAACTCATCTTTCTCGCTCTTTCTTCCTGGTGAGTTCTAAATTCATTCTGTGAGAAAAGATCAAAGAACTCTCAAGTCCAACAGTGAAGAAAAATTGTACATTATACAGATGCGGAGATGCAACGAGACCTGTTTAGGAAAAAGCGGGAAGATTCTTTTAACACGGGTCCTTGAAAACAGAAATAAGAGCAGCTGAGACGGCTCCAAAAAGGCTTGTGTCTTACACGTATTTAATCAGGGTCGTCTCATAAAGTGTGATAGGTATCAGCTGGCAAATACAGCATCTCGCCTATCCTTTCACGTATGTTACTACACCACACTGATTCCCTGCAGCTATTTGACACTTCAAGAAGATGACGTAACATCCTTCACCTGATCTTCACAAGTGACTTTCTGTTCCACTATATGCATACCGTGTTGTCTCAATTTCTCTTATCATTTGAAGTGACCCGAGTCCCAGGATCTACATGCATTAAGAAAATGTCCCGAGTGTATGTACTTGTGTTCTTTCATCTACATTGTTAGTCCAGTTAAACAATCTACCTTCAGATTTCTGCTTACCTTATCTACGAAGTTCTTCTCACATTCTGTTTAATTTCTCTTATTAAAGTTATATATTCCAAAGTGATATGCATTTATCTACAGCACATTAACTTTTAACTGCCTCTTTTCGAACAATAACAGTAGTTTTTTCTTTATTAACTGAAGTTCAGCGGTGTCTTTATCTGAATCTTTTATCAGGCCAATTTTTGTGTCATCAGCTAATTTACTCATATCTCAATTTATTCTCTTCTCACGGTCAATTATTTAAATTATGAACAATAAAAGGCGTATAACTGATCCTTCAATAACGCAACTCTAGACTGGTCCACATTCTTACTGTACCCCATTAACGAAAAATTTGTGTTGCCTGTTCATTAACCATGTCTCGGTCCATGAGAGAACATTTTTCTCACGGCATAATAGGTTCCATCTTGTAGTGTTTATGACACCTTCAAAAACCGTTTATCGGACCCTGAGGAATTATTTTGTTTTAATTGGTCTTCCTATTTATTAACCATTTAACTGCAATATTACTTAATTCGCAGTACTCAGGTCTACTTTAATAATTAACTACTGATTCCCTGTCAGTTAGCTGCTCAGAGTTTGTTTTAAGCTGACGCAGCTTTTCTCCCATTTTTGTTCCACATACATGGAAAAATCCTGTCAGATGTGTCTTCGATACCTTTGCAGCTTTAATTCCATAGTCTCGTTAAGCTTTTCTTTTAACCTGTTACTACGTGAGTAAAGTAATTACTAAGATGATCCTCTCCTCTAGTGATGAGCCAATAAATTTCATTCTACTCACCCTGACAATGTTTTAGCTTCCTGATTATCCATTTCGCGCCATTTGTATTTGGTTTTATTTCTTTAAAGAGAATATATGTTCTTTGGACAATTTTTTATAGTTATCTAAATCCAATGTTATCTAAACAACGCAGATCTGTACTTTCCATATCATAGAAATTATTATTAACCCTTTTTAATGTTAACTGCGAAAGGTTTGTGATTGTTCGTATGAAGGTTCTCCATAATCTTCAAATTATTAACAATTGTCTACTTAAGTTATTAACAATTGTCTCCTTGCTTGTGACAACCAAATCATGTAAGTTATTTCTTCTAATTGATTCTGTTAGAAACTGTTCCAAAAAGCAGTCATTGACAATCAAAGAATTCCGGTCACTTTAACTGCAGTTAAAGTCTCCAAGGATTACCACATTTTCGACTTTTGAAATTTTTACAATTTCTATCCAAAGAAGTCTTCCTTCGAAGACTCGGTATTGTTCTCCTAAAATAAAATTTACATTTCCCTCACAAATTTGCAATCATACAGATTTGAAGTCACTTCCTGTCTTATGTTTATTTAATGAATAAGATCAGATTAAATATTACATTTAAGGCTACGCTGCCTCCAGTCATGTTTCTATCGGTTTTATATAATTAAAAAATTTATGTATAACATTTTCTAGTCAAGTCCCGTTTCAAGTTATATGGAAGATCTTAACAATCATTTTTCTGTAAGAGTGATGAAATGTCATGGATATTAAAACTATGAAAAGCTCCTGTTTTTATAAGTCAGTCTTCTTCAAGAAAACAAGGGCTCGAAATTCTGTAAGTTATTCAATTTTTGCATCATGGTGAGATTGATAGGTAGAAAAGTATGTCATCAATGTGTGGATTTTCTGTAGCTTTTGAAACCCATTTCTAGTCAGTTTCTTGAAAGAAACCATAAGCATTTTCTCTTCGTTTTTGGAGAATTAGCCGGAGAATTCCACGGAGTTGTTGTTCCTGAGAAGTGCAGAAATGTCGAGGCACCTAGGAATGATTACTAGGATGTCGTCTATATAACGTAGCTATAAGCCTAACACTTACTGCAGTTATGGCTAACCAATATATGGATCAATATGTGGATGAATTCCTGGTTATCATTCCGAGAAGTATGAACGTACTTGTATTTCTCAACAACATAAACTCTCTGAAACTCTCCATCATATTCATCATGGAGGAGAGAATAAATAATTGCCTTATCCTTTACTGAAGATTTACGTTGTAAGACTTGTATTTACACCATCCCATGGAGGACGTGAGGACAACTTTACAAGTCTTAACATATATGAAAGTTGAGGAAAGACTCACTTGTGCATCATTTGAATGTCATTATTAAGGAAACGTTACTCCAGTCAGTGGTTTCATCAGTCCAATATAGTAAAGAATGGTGGAATAAGAAAAGAAGTTTCAGGTAATAAGTCCCTCAGCCTGAAGTCAACTTGTGTAGTGGCTATAGGTTAGGCATGAGTTGAAGAATTCCCTGTATCAAGATCCCAAGATGTTTCCTCAGTAAAGATACCCAAGTGTTGCAAAGGTGTCTCGTTCTTCAACTTGTCGATTTCTAAGCCATTAATATTGTATATGTGAACGCTAGTACACTATCCTAAGAGACGACTTAACACTGCCTCTATCTTTCTCAGTAACACCCTAAATCATGACATCAACTTCAACAATGCCTAGCTTATCATCAAGGAATCGGACAGATGTCACAGATGCGATGTTTAGAATTGGCTTTCATAGTTACTACAGGCACCACCGCTCAAAACACAGGCGGTGTAAAGATTTCGGAAATAATTTGCTAAATAAATTTTACCCAAACAAAGTACACCCAGCACCAACCTGGACAAACACCTAACGCACCTACAAACTGTTTTCTCGTCTTTGCATTATATAGAAAAATCAGCTGGTTGGAGAAATATCTGTGATAAAAGCCTACCTACTACAAATTTGTGCTTCTGATATAAGAGGTAATGCTACAGGGTAATATAAGGACTCACTGAGAGGTGAAACTGTAAAGATAGAAGCAAGCATGGAGTGGGAAATATTGGAGGGATGGGAATAGCTAAAGAGCGACAATGTTGCATGGAGTGGGCAAGAATAACAGTGAAGCGGGAAACTGGGCAGTACTTACCGTGGGGTGGAACTGGACAGAAGTAAGGCCGCAAGGAGTGGGCAGATACCTCTCGGGGACACCAGGGTTCTTAAGTGTATAGAGGCACAAGAGTCCACCGGCCTCTTGAACTCTGCTGTTTCTGCCTGAAGACACCAATATAAATATATGCACTAATACTGGTAGAATTACCGACAATATGTCAGGTAAAAGGACGCAAGTGCAACTAATGTGACATTTTATTGTGACAAGGTTTCGCTCTCCAGGAGCTTCGTCAAGCCGTCACAAATAATACATGGACACTGAAGGTATACATAGGCTTAGAGTGAGGTGTAAGGCACAATAACTAACGATTTTCTATACAAAACCAGACAGGGAAACAAACGCACTAGTGAAAGGAAGAAACTTCTGCACTTGATACCCAGCAACCCTAAACCAGCACAGATGTAAAGTTTACTTAAGACCCGTAAACATAATATTCCTCTCAGACCAATTATATCAAGTATAGGCAGTGCACCTCACAAACTAGCTGGAGTTCTTGGCAAACATCTTTCCTTCCTTCTGGGGACCATCAGGCCCGCTCATCTAAAACATTCAGGCAACCTCCTCAACAGCATCAGAGACCTCTCCATCAGAGATAAGAAACTACGTAGTTTGGACGTAACTTCCCTCTTCACTAAAGTACCCACCACACAAGCCATTAACGTTCTACGACGTAAAGTCAGTCAGGACTTTAATCTTCCTCTACCACCCAGAGATCTCGTTGACCTAATTGAAATCTGCACTAATTTCAACTGCTTTTCTTTCAAGAACATACTCTATAAACAAACTTTTTGAATGAGAATGGGGTCCCCCATCAGCCCCGTCTTAGCTAACTTGTATATGGAGCACCTGGAAGCTGAACACTTCGCCAACATCATCACCACCAGCGTCGCTTGGATACGTTACGTGGACGACGTCCTCATAATAACTCCCAAACATTTGATGTGCGGAATCTTCAGGCAAGGCTCAACGCAGCTGAACCGGATATCCAGTTTACACTCGAAGAAGGGTCCAGTGACAAGCTTTCTTTTCTAGACGTCCTCATTTATAAAGTAGATAACACTAAAATTTCAAATTTACCGGAAACCTACAAACAAAAATAATCTCACAAATTTCTATTCCTGTCGAGATACTAAGACCAAAAGAGGCATCATGATCGGATTTTTCCTAAGTGCATACGGAAGTTGTAGTCCAGAGTTTCTTGATGAGGAGTGTACAAACATACGGAGTGTACAAACATACGGAGTGTACAAACATACGGAGTGTACAAACATACACCAAACCTTCACTGATCTACATTATTCTTCCTGTTTCATCAACGACTGCAAGAAAAAAGGGCATCAGATCGCTAATTCTCCAAACACCAATAGCACTCCTAACAAAATTATATTCCTTCCCAACAGCAAGGTTGCATTAAACATTTCTAAAGTACTCGCACAAGCTAACATTAGAGTCGTCATCGCATCCAGCACTTCCATAAGGGGTTTAACCAGGATAAAATCGAAGCACCATAAACCAGTCAATACAGGAGTTTACACTATACCTTGTTTTAGGCTGCGACAGAATATACGTAGGTGAAGCAGCAAGAAACCTCAAAAGATGTCTCAAGAAACACATTAATACATGTAGGAACGATAACTTGAACTACGCATGCGTCCAACACCGGAAACTCACCAGTCACCTCATGAAATTCAACGACGCCAAACTAGTGATTAAAGAACCTTATTTCCGTAGACGTGAATGCCTTGAATCATCATTAAACGCTATTTTTAACACAGTTAAGCAAAATAAAGGCAGCTTCATCATCTCTGAAGTATTAGCAAGAATCATCCTCAAAACAAACCATGCCATCATATAGTTGCTGCAGCTGATGCTAAATAACAACACAGAGGAGGAACACTGAAACAGGTCTTCTGAAATCCAACCCACTAACAAAAATATTTGCTTAACAAATTTTAATGCTACCCAGGCAAGTCGATTATTACTACCACGTGTATTATTACCACTATTATTACAACTACTACTACTTCCACAACGATCATATTGTGCTTTACACCTCAGTCTAAGCCTATATATATACCCGTGTTTCTTATTTTTTGTGCCCGGCTTGAAAAAGCCTGGAGAGTAAAACTTTGCCACAATAAAGTGCATTAGTTACACTTGTGCCCTTTTTTCTAAAAAATTTAAATAAAAACCACACACCCCACCCCACACACAACACAACACCACAACACCCAACACACTCAGAATGTCCCTGTTCGCAGATGATGTTAATGAGGAGAATTAAATCAGATGACGATCAGACAGGACTTCAAAGAGACCTGGACGACTAAAAACCCCTGGTCCAGCAACTGGCTTCTCGAATTTAACCCGCCAAATTACAAAGTCGTGAAGATGGGGGAAAAGGGCCATAAGACCGCAGACGGAGTATAGGCTAGGTGGCCAAAGACTGCAAACCTCGCCAAGGAGAAAGATCTTGGGGGTGAACATAACACTGAGTATGTCTCCGGAAGCACACATCAACAGATAACTGCTGCAGCATTTTGGGGCCTGGCAAACCTGAGACAGCGTTCCGATACCTTAGAAAGGGAATCGTTCAAGACACTGTAACCTTTGTACAGCAGGCCCCGTACTGGAGTATGCAGCCCCTGTTTGGAACCCGCACTTGATAAAGCACGTAAAGGGAATTAGAGAAAGTGCAAAGGTTTGCGACAAGGTTAGTTCCAGAGCAAAGGGGAATGTCCTATGAAGAAAGGGGTTAAGGGGAAATCGGCCTGACGACACTGGAAACAGGAGGGTCAGGGAGACATGATAACGACATAAAAAATACTTTTCGGGGAATAGACAAGGGGGGACAAAGACAGGATGTTCCAGGGAGGGGAAAAAAGAAACAAGAGGTCACAATTGGAAGCTGAAGACTCAGATGATTTCAAAGGGGATGTTAGGAAGTATTTCTTCAGTCATAGAGTAGTCAGGCAGTGGAATAGCCTAGAAAGTGACGTAGTGGAGGCGGGAACCATACATAGTTTTAAGACGAGGTTTGATAAAGTTCATGGAGCAGGGAGAGAGAGGACCCAGTAGCAACCAGTGAAGAGGCGGGGCCAGGAGCTAAGACTCGACCCCTGCAACCACAAATAAGTGAGTACAAATAGGTGAGCACACACACACACACACATACTTGGACTGCAAGAAGGCCTTCGACACAGTTCCTCACAAGAGATTAGTGCAGGAACTAGAGGATCAGGCGCGTATAACAGGGAGAGCACCGATGTGGAACAGAGAATACCTGACAGAGAGGCAACACGAGTCATGGTACGAGATGAGGTATCACAGTGGGCACCTGTGACGAGCGGGGTCCCACAGAGGTCGGTCCTAGGACCAATGCTATTTTTGGTATATGTGAATTACGTGATGGTATGATAGACTCAGAAGTGTCCCTGTTCACAGATGATGTGAAGTTAATGAGGAGAATTAAATCAGATTAGGATCAGGCAGGATATACGAGGCTGGACACCTGGTCCAGCATCTGGCTTCTCGAATTTAACCCCTCCAAATGCAAAGTCATGAAGATCGGGGGAGGGCAAAGAAGACCGCAGACTGAGTATGGGGTAGGTGGCCAAAGACTGCAAACCTCTCTCAAGGAGAACGATTTTGGGGTGAGTATAACACCGAGCACGTCTCCGGAAGCAGACATTAACCAGATAACTACTGCAGCATATGGGCGTCTGGCAAACCTGAGAACAAGACACTGCCTCATGGTGGGCGAAAACGCATGACGCCCTATCCACTGGACCATTGATCAATACCACTCGTTCGTGGTCACAATAATATAAAATACAGCTCGTTGAACTAGTACACCAAACAGGGATTAGAATGAAATTAGCCTAGAGTCATCCACACCATCGTGTGTCCTTGGGTAGGGAGTACAACATCCAGTTCTGCTGGATGCCCTACTTGTAAGGATCATTGATCCAGTTGATTGGGCGTCATGCGTTTTCGCCCACCATGAGGCAGGCCCAAAACGCATGAGTTTGAGTCTTTGGCTAGTGCAGTGTTGTTTATATTATATATATATATATAATATATATATATAATTATATAATATATTTATAAAAATTTATATATATATATATATATATAATATATATATATATATATATTTTAACCAATTTAACCCACCGTTTCTTTATGCTCTTTTTTTCTTCTATAGTTATGTATTAAGGTTTCATTTAGTGGTGAGACATACTGGTACATCCCCAAGTGTCTTGGACGTTTGTTACTCCTACTGTCTGTTGTCTCTCCCTGTAGATATAACCCTTTTATTTAAGTAATTCATTTTCGAAAGTTTATCTTCAAATTATGTAATCATTTCTGTCTAGCATGTCCTGATGGGTAGGATGAAAAGAAAGGAAAAGCAAATTTTCCTTATTTTCGCCATGGTTACATGCTGCTCATCTAATTAGAGATGATATCAAACTCCAGGTGTAGCAGTGCTCGGGGGAAGGTTAGTGTGTACGGTGTACATCACCTTTTTCCGGGGAGCATCACACAACTACATCGTGCATTCCATCCAGTATCACACAAAGTCCGGTTTGTTATTGCCGTATAGTCGTCAGGGCTCCACGTCTATATATGAACAACGACCAGTTATAAACATCAATCAGACAGAGTGAAAGGTTGAACTCCAGATGGGTTGACTTTATACCTACACGCTTGTCCGCAGGTAATTCTCTCATTACCTCCTGATTAATTAATATATACTGGATTCGCTCTCTTTGAGCATATGAATCAATGACAATGAGCATATTTAATTTTGCTCTCTCATGCTATCTCTCTCTTTCACTTTACGTTCCATGTGTTACTTGTTGCTCGGTTGCACACACTAAATTCTGGAAATATTTATAGAAGCAGTGTAAATATATGGGTCATCAATCAGCACTCTTTGTGTTTGCCTTTAATACTCCATGTTTGCTTATATACTCGTAACTATCTTACTGTCAGGTATTATATAACCTTAATAATGCCTTAATAATGTTATAAAAAGGTTCATGTATGTTACAGCGTTTGCAAGAGACCTTTTGTCAGTGTAACAGAGGATTCTTAAACACTTTTGGAATGTGTTTAATTTCTTAAGAAAGCTTCTTCTCTTGCCTTCATTTATTAAATACAGGAAAAATGAGACATATTGAAATGTGAAAATATGTGTTTGTCAGTTTTGTATATAATACTGTGGAATTTTCCACTCTCTAAATTTTGTTAAATATACCTACTCTTGTGACCGTCTTCAGTCTTGAATGGTTATTGCAGATTTAGTCTCCGTAGACGCAGTTTTGCCAATATACTTCCAAAATTAAAAAAAATAGATTCTATATAATTCCTCAAGGACGCTTCTTGTAGCTGATTTGAAAATGTCAACATTAATTCTTCTTACTTATAGGAAAATTTATTATTTTAGCAAAGTTCGTAGCGTCTATGTTACAAAATATTCCATCTCAAGCTCAACTGTCTTAATAAAATATGTTGTATTATACTATTTGTCTTTT